GTGCGGAGCAGCCGTACGGCTGCTCCGCACCAGCCGCCCCCAAACTCCCGCAGCGTCGGCCCCAGCCCAAGTCCCTTCATGGGGGTAGAACAGCAGCATCTTGTGCCCCCTCAAACTGCCACCCCATGCCCAGGGGGCTCGTGGGACACTGGGTTGGGACCTGCACAGAGTCATCTCCGAACGCTCTCTTTTCGTAGATCCTCCCTCCCGCCTCTGCCCGGCTAATGGAGGTGATTTTTGCCTCCTTTCATCTGGAAAAACCACCGGTAAAAATCGTATAACAACTTCCCCAGCTGCGGGAGAGGTGATGAGATGTGCTTGCACATTCACAGCAGGTGATTCTTCCTGCTGCTCTTTGGAGAAGGTTTGCTTGGGTCCTCCCATGCCTCCCACCCGTTCCTGGCTGGGCACAGGGATGTGCAGCGAGGGCAGGAGTTACCCACCCCTGGTCACTGCTTCTCATCCATCCACCCTCCACCCACCTTCGAGAGGTGAAGGGCAACGCAAAAATAGCCCAGCAACATCCTTGAACAGCAAACACCCCAGGCAAGGGGATAGAAGTCAGGGGGATCCATCCGCAGGTATCCCAAGTCCAGCCTCTTCCTGCAGAGGAGATGCCCAGGAGCATCTGACGGTGGAAGCGCCTCCAACCAGGGATGGGAGCATCATCACGGTGAAGCAGATGCTGATATGGGCTCCTCAGGAGCTGCTGTAATCTTATTTGAGGAGCAAATCACATTCCTAGCAGCCAAGGACGTGTTAGGTCTTAATGAAAATGGTGATTCCCAGCAGATTGAGTTGGGAACAGGGAGCGGTTGTCACTTCCCCTCCTAAGCCCTTGCTGATGCCCGAGGGGAGTGTGGTGGGGTCCAGGGGAGCCACCGAAGATGTGGCTCCAGCTGGAAAGCAGGAGGATGGGGAGCTGCCACAAAGCCCCAGCTCCTCACATCCTCCAGGATCCAGCCTCAGCTCCTCACCCGCCCGTTCCTTGCCCTGAGGCTCACCCGAGCCGCCCAGCCCTGAAAGCCAGAACTGTTTGTTTGCAGTTTCCTAGGAGAGAAATCACGTTAAAAAAATTAATTACACACCTGAAAACAAAATCTGGCTGCTCAAGTGCACATCAGGGATAAATGGTGTGCTCAAATTAGACAATTTACAGCTTGGGTAAGTAATGAAGGAACCCAGCCAGGCGTGAAAGCGGAGGGGGAGAATGACCTTGGAGGGGCTCAGGGCTTTCCCCCCCCTGTTTGCCCAGTCCCTCCATCCCTCTGACCCCCTCTTCATTGTTGCTTGCTGAGAAGCCCCAATTTACTCAGCACAGCTGGCTGGGGTAGCTCCTTGTGGCCCCGACCTGGGGAGTTCAGCAGATATTTTGGGTGAGTTTGAGCCCTTTTAGAGCTCGGAGATGGGAATAGCCCCATAGAATGGGGCAGACGGGGCATGTAATGGAGCAGAGGGCTGTGCCACGGACCCTGGGGTGAGGGGGGCCATGGGGGTCCTGCTGCCCCCGTGGCATCCCAGCGAGCAGGGCTGTCCAGCATGGGGAGGGGGGGGTCCGCTGCGCCCCGGCCCCCCCGGCATCCCCCAGCCCACGCTGGCCTCTGCAGTCCTCCGCCGTGCGGTGCGTGGGAGGGCTGGCAGCGCGCTGCTGAGGAACGGGCAGCTCTCCAGGCTTGCCGGAGAGAAGAAAATAATTTCTTTGCCTTATTTTTCCCTTTACGGTGTCCCAGCCCGGCCTGCGAGTGCAGGGATTTAAAGGGGCTGTGCTCTGTTGCCCTGGGTTAGTGGCAGTGGGGATGGTCGATGGGGCTGGGTCCATGCAGCGGAGCTGAGCTCTCCTTCGTGCGTGGGCTGGTGGCTGTGGGTGCTTCCTGGTTTGCTGGTGGAGAGGGACAATCTGTGGGGACTATCGCTGCCCCAGGCACCCCGTGGGCAGAGCTGGAGCTGCAAGAGGTGAGGAGATGCCTCGTCCCCCTCGTGCTGCCCACAGGGGACCTGCCACTGCCAGACCCCGGACTCGCAGGGAGCTGGGAGCACGGCATCACCCCAGGGAGCCAGAGGGACCCACCTCCTCCACCTCCATCCCTCCCCTGCCCCCCGTGTGCTGCCCACAAGCTCCAACAAGGATCCCTCCCGAGCTCCCCAGGCTGCCAACACACGATGGAGCGCGGGGCTGGGACCAGCCTCCCTTCTCCCCTCTCTGCTCAACTCCCACCTCTGCTCAGAGCCGCCTCGGAAACCAGCCAGCTAATGATGCGAGATGCGGAGCAGATGGGGGACCTGACGCTATACTCCCCAGCAGCGGATTAAGCATGCAAATGGATGTATAGCGACGCGGTGCCTCTTGGCCTGTATCCTTTCCACCCCCACCAGGCGTATGGCATTTCAATCCGCAGCCCCCAGGCCCCCCGCCCACAGCACCCCCGGCCTGGCCTGGAGCCACGTGTGGAGGGCAGAGATGGATGGACGGACAGATGCAGGGCTGGGGATGGTTTGCGCAGACCTGCCTGCGTGTGGGATGGTTTGCAAAAGCTCCTTGAGTCGGAAATTCCTTCCCCCCCCCATTCCCTGTGTCCCTACAGGACAGTGACAGCCGTGTGGATGAGCTGCATTCGCTGCATCCTTTCCTCTGTCCCCTTCCTGAGCTCCTTTTGCAGCATCAGTGGGTGCTGCTGCCCCGTGCCCCCCTTTGCCGGGGGGGCTGCTGTGCAAAGAGGTGAGAACAGGGCTGGGGGGGGGACCCAGGTGCCACAGCTGCCTGGCTGTGTTGGCCTTGGGGACACGGCCGGGTGCTGCAGTGAGGATGCCCTGATGCCAGCAGAGCCTCTTATGCCCTGGGGAATGCCAAGGGCAGCAGTGGAGCTCCTGCAACACCCGTGACCACTTCTTGGCCTCAGAAAGGCTGGAAAATGTCAGCTGCCCGAGTCCTACCCCACCTCCAAACCCTGCAAGGACGGCCAGGACTTCGTGCTGCCTGAGCCCACTGCAGTGCCCTGGGGGGACCAGTTCAGCCAGGGGTGGGAGTGGAAAGGACACCCTGTTTCAGCCCAGCGCTGCAGCTGTAAAACAGCCTCCCCCCCCAAAAAAAAAAAAAGAAAAAAAAGATATAAACTCTCCGCTTCCTGATGCGGGAGTGGAGCTGCCTCCACCTGCAGCATTGCTCCCTCAGACCGTCTCTGCCACCACAGCGCGGCACGGTGCAGCGCCGTTATCTCTAATGCCTGGGAGCGGGGAACAGATTAATATTCATCACAAGGGAGCGGAGCATATGGAATATGAATAATGCTAATTGTGTCTGTATAGATTTAGTGTAAGAAGCTTCCATGCATTAAGGAGGGAGGGAATTAGTGCTTCTCTGAACCGTTTCAGACTCATTTGTGGTGAAGGAGCGCCCGCCTGCCTGCGGGTTTCGAGCCAGGGGTGAGGATAAAACTTGTGTCCCGTGCCTGAGTGCAGGAGAGGCTCAGGGACACGGGTGGGCACACCCCCCCCTGCCTCTCAAAAAGCTGAGTGATGGAGCAAACTCAGTCACTGCAGATGCCAAGGAGGAAAAGGGGATGCCCGCGAGCCTTGTGACTGGCCAAAGATTCCCCCAAACTGCTTGCACTGGAGGCAACTCTGAGCCTGCCGTGTCTGGGCTGGTTTTCCATGTACCTGACCCCACTGGGCTCCCAGTTCCTGGGCCAAGATGCAGTAGTGCAGGACTGGCAGATGCATCAAGCTCTCACCATGGGTGCGTTGACCTGCCCCTGGGTGCAGGCAGCTGCTGCTGGAGGGAGGGAGCTGGCAGGAGGCAGTGCCCTGGGCACAGGGGGCTGGAGTGGTTGATGAGGTGCTGGGGGTGAGAAAACTTCATGCCTTAAACATTCATCCCATTTGCCTTCTGGGGATGGGGGTTGGTGCCCTGTTTTAACCGAATCAGCTCATGGCTTTAATAAAGTGAAGAGGAAAAGGCTCATTTCTTGGCTGGGCAGTGGAGGCAGGTGGGGAGGGCAGGCTCTGTGCTGTGGGGCTGGGGCTTCAGTAGAGCCCCCCCAAGGCCCAGGAGAGCCTGTCCTCTCCTTGTGTGGCATGGTCTGGTATAGGGCAGTGTCACCTCGGCCGTGGGGGACCCGATAGGTGCAGTGGGACCCCGTCCCCCTCCCCTCAGGGCATGGTGCTGAGCCTCTCCCTGTGCCTAGCACTGCAATGGGGGGTCTGGGCGGGACACCTCTTTCCTGCCATGCTCCCCAGAGATGCTCCTGTGGCCACTGGGAGCTCGGGAAGGGCTGTGGTCATCCCTCTCCTGGGGGCTAGCACCGGCCAGGGAGGTTTTGAAGCCCAAGGAGAGGATAGAAAACACCCAGGGTCTGGCTGCTCCCCAAGATGCCTTCTGGCATCCCTGCAGCTGCAGCGTGAGGAACACTCTATGCCTTTCCCTGGGCTCTCCAGGGCCAGCAGCCACATTCATCTCAGGCTTGACCACCGGCCTCTTTCTCCTCTCCCCTCCCCTCCCACCCACTGAGAACGTGGGATTCCTCTTACTGCACTTCGATCTCTCCAATTTTTAGCTCATTCTCGCTGCCTTATAGGCACTAATCCCTCTGCAGGCATCGGGGAGAATCCACCTACACTCCATGCAGCAATCACTTAAGTCTTATTGTGTAAACAAAATCTCAAACACGAAATCCCTAATCCTTAATGGCTGAAGCCTCCGATACCTGTTCCCCCGAGTCCTGCCTGACAGAGGCTGGAAGAAGGGGAAGGTCACTCTCATGTTTGCTCCCATCCTCAACCTCAGCCCGGATTAAACATCCGTGCACGCTTTTAACCTTGGGTTTTTCCTTTCTTCCCAGCGGTCCGCGCCGGCGAGCCGCCCCCGGCCCCCTCCCCGCTCCCGTGCATTTGTTCAGCTTAGGGGATCAAACTGGGTGACATTTGGAGTTGGGATATTTAAAATGCAAATCTCCCCTCAATAGATAAATGGAATTTGCTCCCTTTTATGAAGGGAACCTCTGGGGAGAGCCCAGCGCCGTGGCCGGCCAGCTCTGAATGCGAAATCCAGCTGGAGAGGGAGGAATCACTGCCTCCCCCCCGCCCAGCCCAGCACTTCTGGGCAAACACTCGTGCGATAACCATCCTCATCACCGCGAAGGCATCCGAATTCCCCCAAAACACAGCAGAGAGGTAAGAGCTGCGGGGCCGGCAGGGAAACCTGCGGTATTTCTGGGTTACAGCCAGGGAGGGAGAAATCTTGGTGGCCGCTGGTGTAATCCCAGAATTGATGTTTTCTTCCTCTGCGCCCGGGGTGCTGCTGATGTATCATTGTCTCTCCCTCCCAGCTCGGAAATTAAAGCTTTCACCACTTTTCTTGCTGCAGAGGAACAAATGTGTGTCTGAGAGAGAGATTTACACTTTACTTTCCCTTTTGGAAATGAAGCGTGATTTTCCAGCGACTGCAGATGCCGGGCCTGTCCTGACGCATTGAGACAGGCTCTTGGTGGGGGGGGGTGGGGAAAGGAGCCCCCCACCTGCCTCCCCCCCTGGCCTGCCCACAGCAAATCGGGTGGGTTTACACCCCAAAGGATTTGGCTGATGGAGAAGGCTGCAGTCCTCCTCTCCACTCTTGGAGGTACCTGCCCTTGTGTCCCCCTTTTTGCCCCCCCCAACCTGAGGGTGCAGGCTCCAGGCTGGGCTGATTCACCTCCTGGCATGGCTGCTCTTGCAACCTGCTAAACCCCCTTGAAGGGAGGAGAACTAGAGCATCTTTAGGAAAAAAACACTCCATTTGCTGCCAACCCCATCCAGGATGTGACTGCAGAGACCAGACTGCAGCTGGTTTAGGGGATTGGGGAGGCTCAGGGGGGATTGGGGGGTGCATAAACTGCAGCATGGCTGGGATGGAGAGGAGCAGACCCGGATGGGAAAGCCCTAGGGAGGGTTTTGGGGGAATTCAGCAGCCCTGGAGCCAGGCATGTGCAGCAGCTTCTTCCCTGCCTGCGGCTGACCTGCCTGCCCCCGGCCCCCCACTTACCCAGCAACAATTTAGGCAAAGGGGAAAATAATAAAGAAGGAAAAGTTCATCCAGCTCTTTGAGCTGGTCCTGGGCTCCTGCAGTGGTGTTGGAGGGGGCAGGCTGGGGGCTTCCCACAAACCACAGTACACCGAGGAATATCCGGAGCCTCATAAATATACTCTGAGAGAGGAGGAAAAGGGATTTGAATTTCAACTTTAATGCATAATGTGCTTTCTCTAGAAAAACAGCCTTCTTGGCAGGGACCAGACAACTTCCCACTAAACCTCCTGGAGGAGCGTGTTAGTTGCAGAGATAAAACCTCAATGAAACACAATTAGCTTCCACTTGGATTAGCCAAACTCGCCTCTCTCCTCCCACCTGGCTGCCCTGGCTCGGCAGTGGGATGGGGACCGCTCCGTGCCAACCTCCTGCATCCCCAAGCCCGCTGGGAGCAGGACGGTGGCTCTGGCCCGGGGGGAGGATAACCCTCTTTTCATGGTTAAGGAGAACCGACGTGTGATGAATGCACAAAAGCCAGAAAGCTGCAGGGCAGCCCCTGCCATCTCGCCGAGGACAGTGGCTCATCACGGCTGGTTTGCTGCAGTTCTCTGCCGTTTGGAGGCTGGCGGGGAGCCTGGGGCAGGGTCCTCATGTTGTCCCCTACGGTCCAGGCAGCTCAGGGTCAGGGCACGGCACTGCCACCTCCTCTCCCTGCTCAATCCCTAAGTGGGGAGAAGGGCGCAGAGGGGACCTGCTGGCAGCAAAGATTGCTGAAAGATTCTTTAGGCAGAAATACCTTGAATATTGAGATTTTAATTTTTTTTTAAGGCTTATAAGCCATGATGTTTTCTAGCCTTGGAGTTTTTAGGCTTAAGCATCACCCATCATGTGAATATCTCACCCCTGGTTGCCCCTGACTCCCCAGGTATCACGCTGAGCCCCGCAGCATCGGCCCCGCCGGGGAGTGGCTGCCAGAGGGACCAAGAGATGCTGGCAGGGCTCTAAGGGGAAACCGGCCTATTAATTAAGAGCTTAATTACCCAATAACGAGCAGTGGACTTAGCTCAACCTTGAAGCAGGCCAAGCGTGTGAAGCCTGCTTGGCTCCCTGGGGGAGGGACGGGGGAGGTGAGCTGAGGGCACGCTTTGCCTTCCGTGGCATTTGCAAGTATCTGCAAGATCTATACATGGAGAGAACAAACCTGGAGAGAATAGACCTTGCAGCCTCCTCGGTACTTCTGTCTCTGTTGTCCCCAGAGTGTCCCCCTGAGCCCTCGCTGGTGTCCCCCACATCAGTCCCATCATCCTGCTCAGCTCCTGCTGGCACCCATCTTCTGTCTGGGGAAAGGGGCTGTGGTCCTACTGACACGCTCGGAGGGTTATGGAGTGCCCAGCTCTCCTGTAGAACAGAACAGCTGCACGTCTCAGCCTGGGGAATGAGGATGAATGACCCAAGCACAACCCAGAGCCGGCACAGCCTGCGGACGTGGTGCCAGTGGGAGGACACAGGATGGGGACCATTTGTCCCTCCAGCAATAGAACATACCCTGGAGAAGGGGTGGCCTGTGGGGTGGGTGTTTCTGCTGGCGGAGGAGGGAGGGGAGTTTGTGAGCTGGAAAGGGAGAAGGATTTCTTTGGTTTGGCGCGTTTTGCTGCAGAAAGGCGGTTTCGGCTCCAAGGATAAGGGAAATGAAACAGAAAAATGCCTCCCATTAAGCAAAAGGGATGGAGAGCCCTGCGTAATAGTGCTGTCTGCAGGGGCTTCTCGCTCTGTATTTGCATCCAGCGCGGCCTTGTGCCAGCGCCCGGAGGGAGCCATGCTATGGCGAGACGCGCCACGTGCTGCTGCAGGAGACGGGGGGCTGAGGGGACGAGCCCTGGGCCCCACAGCTCTGGGGTGAGGACAGCCACATCCATCACCCACCCCTTGGATGACGGCCAGTGCCTGGGGCGAGGGCAGGCAGATCCCTGTGAGCCCCTGGGGAGGTCCCACGGGGGGACTGGGATCACCCTGACCTGGGCTGAGTCAGGGGCATAAGGAACCCCTGGAGGGGGTTTGGTCAAAGCCCGTGGTCAGCCCTGAGGGTCTCCTGACCGCTGGGACATGGGCAATGCCAGTGTGTCCCCTCACCCTGCCTGCATCTGCATGGCCCCAGGGAACAGAGACCCCAGCCCTGGCAGGGACCCCAACCCCGGGCAGGGCACAGCTGTGGGGGTTCATCAGGAGATGCTCTTTCCTTCCCCTTTGCTGTTAGTTTTTTTTAAAAGCCCAAGTAGACGCGACGGGTGTGTGGAAGAAAGAACAACATTCACTCTGGAGCTTTCCCAAGTAATTCATCCTCCAAGAAATTAATTATCAGTGCTGGTGCTGCGTTTAATCAGCATGGGTCCCTGCGTGCCTGAGGTCGGAGGGTGTTTGCTGCCTCTGCCTCCGGCGGCTCTGGGTTCCTGCTGGCGGGGAGCAGATCTGCTGCTGGAAGGGAGCTGGAAGCAGGGAGAGCAGGTCAGGCTGGGAGTGCACATCCCCAGCAGCTGTGCAAACACCACCAGGCCAGCAGCACCCTGCCAGCCCTGCCCGAGGGGGGTGACAGGGCAGTCCTGCTGCTGAGAGTGGGCCAGATGCCTGTAGGGGGGGGAGTCCCCAGGGTGCCCATGGGGCTGGGAGCAGGAACATAACCCAGGAGATGGTAGCCTGCGCCCCAGCCCGCATCGAGGACAGCAAACCCACATGGGCAGCATGCACACGCGTGTGTTTACGTGTGCGTGGCACGCTGGGAAGGCGGCTGTTGAATGTGTGTTTGCTGGAGGGGGACGACACAGGGGCATCTGTTCCAGCAGAGCTGCCTCTGGCATCCGTCTCCCTGACAAATGGTGTTTGGTTTGGTGGTGGAGCCTTAATGAAAGCGGTGCCGGCTGCAGGCGTGGGGAGGGGAGCGCCTGCCTGGAGGATGCACCAGGGGAGAAAGGAGAAGAAAAGGACAAATGGACGCTGGACACAGCCCCTGGTGATGGCCAGATGGCTTCCTGGCAGGACCTGTGTCTCACCGCCTGGCCGGGGACACCCAGCTCTCCACAGCAAGCCCTGGGCAGCAGGGTCTCGTGCCACCAGGAGAAGGTGCGTCACTTGTGGGGGAGAGGGTCTGGGGGTCCCCTTCAGGCTGTTTTCTAGGCGTGAGGAGGCACTGGCTGGTGTGCGTGGTCAGGCTGGTGCTGGGTAGGTGTTGTGGGGCTGTGCAGCCCCCATGCCTGAGGGCAGCAGGCTGGAGGCACTGTCTGTGTGCAGCATGGGCTGCGGGTCTTGGGTTGTCCGGGATGATGGTCTCCCAGCAGGGCCAGGACATGAGGTGTCCATGGCTGGACAGACAGACAGACATGCATCTGTAATGTAGCTCCAGATGCAGCAGTGCCACCCCAATGTCCGGGGGACACCGAAGCCCTGAAGCCAGCAGGACCTCAGATAAGCGTGGACTTTCTGGAGACAGGGGGTGATGCAGGATTTTGGGGACCTCTGGGACTGCTACCCTGGGGCAGCCAGTGATCTGTTTCCGTCACGTTTCCATCATACTTGTGCCCTCTAGTGGCTTTGTCCCCTCTCTGGTCCCATGGCCACCATCCCAGTGCCATGACTACACCCCTGATCCCATGGCCACCATCCCATGGTGGCCAGGGTCAGCCTGGCCCTGTGCCTCCAGCACTGCCAGCCTTGGCAATTCATAGGCGGTGGGGAAACAGTGGGTGAGAAGGGCTTGGGTCAGGCCAGGAGGGCACCTTGGCACCGCATGATGGTGACCCCCTTCAGGCTGGAAGGGAGTGCTTCTCCTTGGTTTCAAGATGGTTTGGCATGGAAATGTAACTTTTAGATCTGGAAAGAGGCAAGGGATACCAAAACCTTTCCAGGGGCTTGAATCCTCAGCCAAAACTGCCGGCTGAGTGACCCCAAAATGCATTTTATTCCAGAAAATCAAATCTTTAGATTTCTAACACAAAGTTTCTCATTTTCTGACTGCTCGGGGCTGTTCGCTACCTTTCTGTCTCCTCTGTGTTCAATCACATGGCAGCCTGAAAAAAAACCCAACACCCTTTTTTCTCGTTCTACTGATGTTTTGCTTTCATCTAAAAGAAATAAACCGCTCCTTCGCCTCCGGCCCCCAACAGCCACTGCTTCTCAGCTGCGCTCCTCGGGGAGGGGATGCCTGGATGCCCTGCGGCTGCTCCTGCCTCCCGCGTGAGTCTCCCCTTCCCTCTGCCTCCTCTCTGCATGTTTTTGGACCCTACCCAGGGCTGCGGCAAGGACAGGAAAGGTGGTTTGGTGGGAGAAGCCCAGCCAGGCTCCACAGATCCCCGGGGTGGCTGGTGGAGCAGGGTGAGGATGGGGTCCCGTATACCAGGGCAGTGTGAGCTCCCGTGTCCCCCGCAGGGAGAGGGAGATAGAGGTGTCCCTGTGCAAGTGGCAGCTGTCTCTGTGCGCACTCCCACTGCTAGCAGGGGGATATTTCCTATCTGAGAAAGCAGATGTTGGTTAGGAGCTTCCTAAGCAGTTTCTCTTCCCTCTTAGAATTGCTGCTTGGAGACAGAATTAAATTCTCTTTTGTTGTCAGTTTAGGGGACAACAAAACCAAATGTCACCTGGAGAAGTTCCTACAGTTGCACCCCTGGGGCTGGCACCGCTGGCCCAGGACTGGGATTAGCCTGTCACCAACAAAACCACCGTGACGGTGGTCCCCAGGGGGAACAGATAGATGATCGATGCTGGGATTGGCTTGTCCGATGGCTGTGGTGACAGCAGTGACCTGGAGCAGCAGCTTCACCCTGCCTGTGCTTGCACTGCACTAACCCATCCTCACAGCCTCCGGACTGGTCCATGCACCGAGCGGTGTCAGGCCTCTGCCAGGCCAGTGAGGGGCTCGGGGCAGCAGAGCCACAGACAGCAACTGCCACAGATGTTCTGCATTTTGGATTTCTCCCCCTTCCAGCCTCGTTAGTACTGAAATTAAAAGCAAGTGTTTGTGAATTGGTAGCTGTTCTCCAAGACCCTAATTAGCAAATCTCTTCATCCCCCGGGGCTGCAATCTAATAATAAAAAAAAAAAAAACAAAAACCAACCCAGCACCCAAACAAGCCCCAAACCTCGTTTGATGGATCGGGAGTGCTACTGGAACAGTCGGAAGCGGCTCTTCCTGCTTAGTATGGTAATTAAACACTTCAATTGCAATTATTTTTGCAATTAGATAAGTCTCTAATTGTTATCATAGGTGGCGGGGGTTTGGGTGTGTGTTTGCCAGTTTTTCCTCCCTGAGCTGGAGCGAAGCGTGGATGCTACAGGCGATTCAAGGCCTGCTCCTCTCTGGTTGGTTTGAAGACGAGTCCTCTGTGTGCTCGGCTGCGGGGGCTCCTTTCCTGCGTCTTTGCGAAGGAAGGCTCCGGTGAGGTAATCTCCCCTTCTGCTGTGGGGTGCTCACCCCAGGGGTCTCATAGTTCCCTGTCCCATGAAGGAGGACCGGGAAGGGGCCGTTGCCTGCCAGGGCATCACCTCACTGCGGGTCTCTCCCTGCCCACTGATGCTTTGGTGGGGCTACGTGATGCCCAGGCTGGGTGCTGTGGGGCACTGGGGATGCAACCCACCCCTCTACCAGCCCTCCATGTTCTCTGGAAGCCATTTGCTCTTTCCCATCACGAATTGCTGGCAGAAGGGGACAAACAGTGTGACCAGCAGAAGTAGGGAGGTGATTGTGCCCCTGTACTCAGCACTGGTGAGGCCACACCTCGAGTATTGTGTCCAGTTTTGGGCACCTCAATACAAGAGAGATATCGAGGTGCTGGAGCGAGTGCAGAGGAGGGCAACGAAGCTGGTGAGGGGGCTGGAAAACAAATCGTATGAGGAGCAGCTGAGGGAGTTGGGACTGTTTAGTATGAGGAAGAGGAGGCTGAGGGGAGACCTCATCACTCTCTACAACTATGTGAAAGGACACTGTAGAGAGGTTGGTGCTGGTCTCTTCTCACAGGTAATTAGTGACAGAACGAGAGGGAACGGCTTCAAGCTCCAACAGGGTAGGTTTAGATTGAACATTAGGAAAGAATTTTTCACCGAAAGAGTGGTCGGGCATTGGAACAGGCTGCCCAGGGAGGGGGTGGAGTCACCATCCCTGGCTGTGTTTAAGGGCCGTTTAGATGCAGTGCTAAGGGACATGGTGTAGGGGATGACTTTGTAGGGTAGGGTAGATGGTTGGACTCGATGATCCCAAGGGTCTCTTCCAACCTAGACGATTCTATGATTCTAAGGGCCAAACCCCCAGAGGTGTGAGCGGTCGGGCTGCGGTGGCTTTGGGGGTGACAGAGGGTCTGGGGACCCCAGCGGGGTCTGGTGTGCCGGGTCGGGGTGGGGGGAGCCCTGTGGGTGTTTTGGGGGGTACCCAGCCGGGTGTGTGGCCGGGAGGGGCGGGCCTGTCCCCGGCAACAAGCAGGGGGAGCTCCGAGCCTGCGCTGCCGCCGGCCCGCCCCGCTCCCCGGGGGAGGCCCCCTGTCCCCCTGCTCCTGCGGGTCATGGCGTTCACCGGGTGGGTGTCGGGCACCCCGGCTTGGCCCCGTGCAGGGAGCCCCTTCCAGGTACACCTCCACCCCCTCCCCCCAGCCGTCGGGAGACCCCCAAAATTCGGGGCACTAATGTCCTTGAGCGACGCCTGAGACCCAGGGCAGAGCCCCGGCCCACGGGAAACCGGTTGTCTGGGGGGGTCAGCACCCTCCCTTCTGGGGGGAATCTGCAAACGGGGGTCTGTCTGTGCCCTGGGGATGATGTGGGGGGCAGAACGAGCACGCTGTGCCCCGGAGGTGGTGAGAGTCAGGGTTATTCCAGGAGGAAACACTTGCTGCACAGCACAGCAAGGAGCCTTGTTTGTTCCTGTCCTATCCGGTCCTAGCTGCCCCTTCTTCCCACCAGCTCGGGGACCTGGGAGAGGGGGTCCTTTAGCAGGTCCCACAGGGCAAGGTGCTCTCTATGGGGGTGCCAGCTCTTCCTGGGGGGGCTGCAACCTGTGTCCTGGGGGGCTTGTGCTGTGTGTTTGTCCGGGCTCTGTCCCAGCAAAGACATGGAGATGGGACAGCAGGATACAGGGGGAAAGGGAGGCTCTTCCCAGGACAGGGCACACCCAAATTAATCAATCATCTCTGTGTTAAATAGATTTTTATACCATTGATGACTTCTGCACAGACTCAGTGTGGAAACATCCTGTTTTGGTGGTCTTAGTGTTTGAGCTGCCGGGGAGGGCAGAGCCTGGGGACAAACCCCAGCTGCTTAGTGTCCCCCCATGGCCCAGCAGGCTCCAGGGCCTCCCTCCTTCTTGCAGTGGGGCTGGGACAGGGAACATGAAGCAGGGTCAGCCCTGGCGATGCCAAAACCTCCCCAACGTGGGAGGCAGGTAAGCTTGCCCCAGCACAGATGCTGTAGGACTGGGCATCCTGTGCATGATCAACCAGTACTCATGGCTGCTGACATCTGCCATGATTAGCCCTCCTGCCACATTGTCCACCCTTCTGCCTGGACTCCTGCCCCCTCCAAGGGGTGGATATGGCCCTTGGACAGGGTATAAGGGAGGGTAGTGCTTGTGCTCTGCTTCTCCACCCTAGGCTGGTCTGTCTGGCACCAAGACCTTGATTGCAGCCCCTTTTCCCTCCACCGTGTGCCCTCTCAGCCTGACCCACTGCCCTGGGCTTGGGGAGGACACCCCCATCCTGGGGGTACATGCTAGCTTCTGACCCAGCTCCTTGGGCATCACTGCCTGCTGGTGTGGGGCTCGACGCTGGAGGTGTCACAGCCCCAACAGGGCAGGGGAGAGGCTCTTCTGCAGCTCCTCCGAGGGCTCTTCAAACACACCACCCTCCTGGGAAGAAACTTGGGCAGGCAAAGGCCTCTCCAGCAGTGTCTGGGGTTGGAGCAAATGCTGCATGGCAGAGCAGGCATCCTGCAGGGGAACAGAGAGGGGGTTCGATGACTTTGCAGGGTGTAGGTAGGTCCCTTCCCCCGGCTTTCATGCTCCCCAGCACAAGGGGTGTGCCTGGGAGGGGCTGTGGTGTGATGCTGTGAGGATGCTCTCAGCAGAGCACGGCTGAGTGCTGACATTTGGGCAGAGCTGAGCAGGCTTATGTCACCCCAGGACCCACCATCTGACATCCCTTTGAGTAACATCTTACTTTGTGGCTTCCTCTGCATGCTCTTTCCACCCACTTGGGCCGGCTGGAAGAGGCAGGGTTGTCACCTCTGCAAATGCCTCTATAAAAGCAGATTTCCTGGGATCAGTGGTGCTCTGGTCCTGGGTATTCCTTCTTCCATGGCCCCTCTCCCCACCGCTGCAAGTGGGTTGGGGATTTTTCAGGTGGGTGTCCCATGTGAGGTGGCATTTCCTGTCCCTACCCTCACAGCGCAGAGAGGAAATCTGTGGCCACACCAGGACCTCAGATCTGCAAACCTCTCTGTCAGAATGACTTGACTTCATTCTGTTGATTAGATTAGAATCATAGAATGGTTTAGGTTGGAAGGGACCTTAAAGATCACCTAGTTCCAGTCTCTTGGGGGATGGCTGGTATTTTGCCTTTAACTCATGGAAAGCAAATGTCTTTCAGAAGATAACGTGCAGCACAGAGAGGGGAAAGCATGAAGCAGAAGAGCTGGAATTGGCATCCCTTCAGCCCCTGCTGTTGGGCAATGACAGCAACAGAGATGACTCTGCAGTGATGGAGTGGTGAGCATCCTGTCTGCCCCGGGAGAGGTTCACTGTGAGCTGTTGTGCCCTCCAGGCTTGGGGTTTCGTGCTGCTGACGCCCACTGGGGCAGCACTGGGGCTGCTGTGATGCCATTCCAGGCAGCAGCCTCTGCACTGCGACCTTCCCGCTGAGCGATGCTTGTACCTTGGCGTGTCGCATCGAGGGACTTGCCCCCCTGGGGTAAGAGGGACCTCACTGCCCTGTCCTGCTCCTGCCCCCTTGCTCTCCAAACCTCTGGTTCCCTTTCTGCTGATGGGCAATGTCAGTTTCAGGATGTTTCTCTCGGAGTCCCTCAGAGAGATGCAGGGGGATGCTGTGCCACAGGGTGGTGGGTCCTGCCCTCTCCTGCAGCAGCCCCAGCTCCCTCCCAGCCTCAAGGGTTGGGGCAGCAGCACCAGCTCTCACCATCGCCATGACCTTGGCTAAGGTTAGCCGTGCTCAGCGTGCAGCAGGGACAAGTGTACCTAGCGTCCAGCATGTGGGTGACACTATTTTCTCCCGCAGGGCACAGTCAATAAGGGAGAGCCCAGGTTATCAGCGTGCAGCGTTGGAGGGAGAGCGTGTGGAGGTCAGGGTGACCTTGACTGGCTCTTCCTGGGAAGTGCTCCACAAAGTGGCTCTCTGGAGCTGAGAGGCATCCCCATTCATGACAGCCATGTCCTGCAGCCCATGGGGAGAAGGTGGCAAAGACTGGTGCAGCATCAGCTCTTCACCCCGGGAGCCCTGCCAGCATCCCCGTGAAAGCAATTTATGTGGAGCTGATGCAGGCTTGCATGAGAATGAAGTGTGCTGGAAATCCACGGTCTAAATGCAGCTGCCTCTGCAGCGTGTGGACTGACAGGTGGGATGCAGAGATCTTCCAGGACATCTCAGGGTGGCTGTGTAAGCCCCCACCTCCAGGGCAGCTGGGAGTAGGGGGGGTAGAGCTGTGTACACCTCCCCTGGACTTGGGGCTGTGTTTGGAGAGCAAATGATGCTGGAGAAAGGAGTGAGGATACACCTCTCTGATGGCATCACCCTCTGCGCCAAGTACCATGGGGATGGGATGGCTGGACCAGGGGAAAATGCGGTGTGTGCCATAGCAGGGAGAGTTGCCCCCTCCCCTTGCTTCCACCCGGTGACCATGGCCCCATACTCACCCTGTGGCCCTCACCCCTGCCATTGAGTTTCTCCCTGAGGAAAATTGAGTGTTGTCCTTTCAACCTCACAGGATTTTGGAAGAGGGCAGCCAGGAGCTGACGGGTGGGAGACGTGGGTCCTAGGGCAGCAGGCTGGCTGAGACTCACGGGAAAGCTCAGGTGCTGGAAAGGGTTAAATTGTACATAAAGACAGAAAGAAAAGAGAGAAAAAAAGAAGAGATCAGTTGATGAGTGCCAGCGTGGTGGAGCCCACCTTTGCTCTGTGGAGCACCAGGTACTGTCTGCCTGGCGTCTGCTGCTCGAGGCTGGCAGCTGGGACAGGCAGGTTAGGACAGGGACATGGTGACTGGGACAGGGATCCTTTTCTATGGGAACTGGCTTCTCTCTGCCTATATATTATGGCCATGGCCCTGAGCACAGATGATGTGTGCAAGAGAGTAATCCAGAGCTGCTCGCTCAGCTCTGTTGTTTTCTGTCTGATACCTCCCCGTTGGCGCTGAATGTTCCTTCTCTTGGGCCTTCAATCTCTCCGGAACTCAGGGACTGGTCTCACAACCTGCAGCCGTGCCTGGTCCCTGGCACACTCGTCTTCAGGGTCCTGTCCCACCGCAGTGAGGCAGGTTCCTGAGGTCCATCAGGTGCTGTGTGTACAAGTAGTGCTTTCCTTGACTGGTTTGTGTGAAGAGATGAATTGCCTTTCCTCTTTGGGGCCTAGTGGGGAGACAGAAGCAGCTGCCTTCCCTTGCATCCCTGCTTGGCCCTGCACTCTCCACCCTACCTGGTCCTCACCCGTGGAAATGCCTCCAGCCCTTTAATGGCTGTGGTGCTCCCATGGCCTTTTGATTTCCAAAGCAGCGATGACTCCCTGTTCCTGCTCCTGACACCCCTGAGACTGGCTGCAGTTCTCCAGTATTCCCACTATTGTTTGCTGGTCTTTTCTCTGTGCATCATAACAGGAAAGGACATTGTTATTAAGGGCAATGCTTCAAAATACTGCTGGTTGTGCTTTTCCCTGAATCACCCTGTGGAGTTTCTCTGAGCTGAGCTCTTCTGAGCTCTGGCCCTCCTGATCTGGGGGGTTATGAGTTTGTGAAGTGATTCGTGTTGGCCTTTTTGCCATTAACATGGCTGGGGCAGGTGACTGGGAAGACTATGCAGACGGGAAGGGGGAGAGGAACTAGCTTGGTTCATGCTTGGGGTGAAATTGGCTGCCAGGCTTCTGGTGTACAGGTAAATCCCATGCCCACCTGTCTTGTGTGGTATTAGTTGATCCAGATCATCTGCCAACAGCAGATGTTTATATATCTGATTACGGAAAAGAGGGTTGGAAGGGCCCTCACGTGGTCCTTGATGCGTCATTTCTGTGTAAATGAGCAGGTTAAGAAGAGAAGTAGATAAAGTAAAAGTGGTAACTGATCATTTGGTGACTGAGCAACTCTTATCTGATCGCGAGCAGAAACCACAGCAGCGGTGCTGCATAGGAAGGGAGGGAGATCTCTGGATTTAAAAAGGTCAAGAAACATCCTTGTGGTTGAGTCTTTCTCTCTTACTGCCCCACGGTTCCTGGGTCTCGTGTGTTATGGTGCTGTTATGGTGCTTGCTTCTAATCAACCTCTTCCCTCCAACTTCCTGCACCCTTGGGAGCAAATCAAGCTGGGGTACTCACTGGGGTTGATTTTAGCAGTGGGGCCTCTTCCCCCCGCAGGGGTAAGGACAGTCTGGAGCCACACGCTGGATCCCTGTGCTGAGGTTTTGGCCAAGCCCTGCTGGCAGTGGGCACCTGCCCGTTGAGAGTTTGGGGATGGAGGTCCCCCAGCTGCCCCTGACCCCATTGTGGGCTTTGGATGCAAAGCAGGATCAGGCCCTCCAGGGAAGCAGAAGAAGGACCTTGGCTACTTGGGAAAGTCACAAGGTCAGTGACCTTGACCTCTGCCTGGGGAACAGAAACTCATTTTCCTTCCCCTTTTCTTGCAGTCCATATCATTATTCTCCCTTCGAGATAAGGCAGCATTTCTCGAAGTCTTTTTCTCCCTCTCAGCTGCATAGGGAAGCCCCTCTGGCCTGTTCCCCTTGGCCAGGACTCCCTGTCCAGCTGCAGAGCCCCTGTGTGTGAGATCCCAGTTTGCCCAGGATCTGCACTTTTCTGTGAGTAAACAGCACAGCTCCTTTCTCTTTGTCTGTTTGCAGAAGCATGTCCCACCTCAGGCCCATGCTCTCCATATGTTTTTTATATATGCCTGCAACCATGCTTACTAAATGCTGTACCTTTGAACTCTTTATTAGTTCTTGGAAGCTGAAAAAGCAGCGCCGGGAGCTCAGGTCTTGTGTCTGCACTCACCCATCCTGGTGTTTCCTGGGGCAGAGTTCCCTGCCCTAAGCTGCTCCTCTGCCTTGGGTAAAGCCGCATCTGAGCCCCAGTGGAGGCACGATGCTGGGTGAGCCTTTCCGATGGCTCTGTCCTTTGGTTCACCTCCTCACGCTCTCCTTTCAGTGGCTTGAGACTGTTTTTCTGGGACAGGACCAAGGGCACGTACCGCTGGAGAGCACAAGTGCAGCTCCTTTGCTGGCACGTGGGGAACGGGGAGTCAAAAGCCTCCTTATCTATGGATGGAAAGTTCCTGGGCTGCTTATCAGCCACTGCTTAGAAGTTAGATTAAAGTCTAATCGTGGTTTGCACCATGGCAGATAGCATAAGAAGGATGGAGAAGCACAATCAAGTGGGTGAATGCCCCTTGGGCAAGGCAATGTGCTGGTGGCTCAGCCCTGTGGTAACAGTGGGTGCCATGGGAAGGGACTGGTGCCACAGCCCAGAACAGAGCTCTCCCACCTCGCATCCTGCGTCCCTGCACCTCTCCGAGGGGCCTGACCCCCGTGACACGCTTGGGTTGACACTGAGGGAGTTTTTGGCTCTAACTTTACATGGGTATTCATATTTCTAAAAACATTTTCCAACCTAATTTGGGCTATTCTTGCTCCTTTCCAGAGATGGGAATGGAACTTGCTGTTGGCTGAATTCTCTGCTAATGCAAACCGACAGCCGAAATGCTGAGGGTGCGCGGCTCGGCCGGGAAGGGAGACTGCTGAGCAGCTCTGCAGGGAGCTGGGGACCCAGATCTTGGCTCCTGCAGGGACTTGCAGCCTGATTGTGGGTGCCCTGACTCTCTGCCCCAGGGCTAACACCCTGTTGCCCACCCTGTGATGGGCAGTCATCCTTCTTGAGCTCCCCCCAGCTCTGTTGTGTGCCCAGGCTCTGCTGGCTGCCTGCCACTGGAGAGCAGGGCATGGATGGCTTTGGGGAGCAGCTGCAGCTAATGGCTGCACCCCATTCTGCACAGAAAACCCCGATGGCAAAACTGTCTTCAGCAAAGCCAGGGACATTCTGTGCTGCCTGTGAACGGGTGGTGGTTGCAGAGGTGGCCAGCCACATGTGAAGGTGGAGTAGCTGGACTTGTGCTGCCAGCATGGAGGGATGTGAGCTGGGCTCCTACTGGTGGTGGTGAATTTCTGAGTGGCTGCAAAGGGCAAGAGTTGCCTGGGCAAGGATCTCCTGCTGGGGCATCAACTCATTGCTTAAAAGTTCATGGACAACCTCGGGTCCCCACCTCTGCCTTCCTCTCCAGGGACAAACCCACCACCAAAGCTCTGTAAGAAGGACCTTACCTCTTGAGGGCTCCATCATTCAGCAAGATCCCTTTCCCGTTCCTTATCTCCAGTTTCAGGGGTTTACCTTCCTGACTGCTCTGGCCCTGCTGGCAGTTCCTGCCCCTGGACTGGGCCTTCTGCAGGGGAGGCAGGCAGGAGATCCTGGGGTCCCTAGTCCTCCGGCAGTGCAGCAAGTGCTGGTATGCCACTCGGAAATCCCTGTTGAACGTCCCGTAGAGGATGGGGTTCAGGGCTGAGTTGGCGTAGCCCAGCCAGAGGACAATGGACATGACTGTGCTGTCCACCGTGCATTTCCCCCGTATCCCCCGGTATGTAAACACTGTGAAATAGGGGAACCAGCACACAATGAAAGCTCCCAACACCACTGCCAGCGTCACGGTGGCTTTGTGCTCTTTCACCATGGGTGGCATGGGGGTGTTGCTGCTGCTGCACCATGTGTGGTTTATCCTCTTGGCTTGCTCCCTCGCTATCTTGAATATCCGGTAGTAGGTGATGCACATGATGACCAAAGGGATGTAGAAGGTGAGCAAGGCATCCACTAGCCCGTACGGAGTGTTCACGTCCAGCATGCACTCCTTGCTGTCGTTGTTTTGGACTGCTGTCCCACTGGTGTTCCAGCCCAGGTGGATGGGCAGGAAAGAGACCATCAGTGAAACGGTCCAAATAACAACCAAACCCACAGCCACCCGGGAGCGAGTGACCAGCTGGCTGTAGCGAAGCGGGGTGGTGACAGCAAAGTAGCGGTCCAGGCTGATCATGAAGAGGTTGAGGATGGAAGCCGTGCACAGCATGACGTCCAGGCTGAGGTAAATGTTGCACAAAGTGCTGCCGAAGGGCCACTCTTTGGTGAGTTCATAGAAGGCAGAGAATGGCAGCACCAAGAGGCCCAGCAGCAGGTCAGTGATGGCCAAAGAGACAATGATGCAGTTCGTCAAGCTGCGGAGCCGGCGGTCAAGGATGACAGCCAGGCAGACAATGATGTTACCGCAGAGAGTGATCACGATGAGGATGGCAAGGCAGGACCCAACCAGTAGTTGCATGGGAAATTCCATCCTTTTTTGAGGGCTTGTACGGTTGTAACACAGCTCCATAATGTAGTCATATGGATGGATCAGTCCTGCTCTCACCAGCTCCAAAGCTACTTGGAGTGAGCCTCTACCGGGCAGCCCTAGAGCCCCTTCCCAAGTGACCTTGGAGAACACTGCGGAGTTGCTTCACTTGTTCAGCCTTGTATACTAGGAATGACACAGTCTAGGGAAAGATGTGGTCCTGCACCTTGCTTGTGCCTGTTGGCCCCATCTGGGATCTCAGTGCTGGAGCTGATCCCCTGTGTCAGCTGCTGGTGGGTCTCAACTGCTCCCTTTTCCTCTCCTACCTTCTCCTTTCCTCTGAGTGGCTGTGGGGTTGGCTCCCGTGGGGTCTCACACAGTCTGCATGTTTGGTTGGTGACAGCAGTCAGCAGTGCTCCAGCAGGGACAGAGCTTTGCCACCTCCTGAGGACAACCTGCAAAGAAAGTACCAACTCAGAGCTGCAATGGGCAAAAGTCTTCTGTGCTGCCTCTCAAACCCCTCCAGAAAGGGGGCGTCTGCACCCTCCTGGGTGCTCCAGCCCACTTAAACCTGAATTGGAAGGTCTCATGGCAGCCAGGCACACATGTCCCTGCCAGCTGGCCTTACCCAGCCCCAGGTGTGGCCAGGTGTGGTAACGTAATGATGATGAGAGATTGGCAGGGATTTTAGACATGGCAGTTTTCTGCAGGCTGTGATGAAAGAAGGACTTGGGAGCACAGGAGGAAAGAGTTTTCCTGAGAAAACACTTCACTTTTCTTATGCAACCTGGTAAAATTAGTGTGGTTTCTGAAGCTTGGCAGTGGCTATAAGCTTAAGCACTTGTTTATTAAACTTTTCCTTTGTAACTGCACTTTGCAGCAGCCCATGCCTTGCGTTGGTCCCTGCTGTCAGCAGCCACGCTGGCTCCTGCAGCCCGGAGAGGAAATCCTCGCTCTGCTCAGGGCCCTGGGAGGGAAGAAGAACCCATTTATCAGGGGTGCAATGCCTGGGGGAGGAGGTGGCTGAAAGGGCTCTGACAGCTTCGTTGGTCCCGTTCCCAGCAGCTGAATGGCAGCAGGGAGGTTTGTTTTTCAGGGAGAGCTTGGATGGAGCTGCTCTTGCTGTGGGACAGGGACGCAGAATGGAGAACATCCCTTATAGACTTACTTCTTATGATTGTTTTCTGTCTGTATGTAAATAACAAAAAGTCATATTTTGCAAGGGCAGAAGCAACACAGCAACACCCCCCCCCCCCAACCCC